CTCACCTCAGCCTCCCAAAGGCGCGGGATTACAGGCTGAGCCACCGAGCCCGGCGCAACAAGTGATTTTTTAAAGGGGCTTGCTCCTCATGCTTTAAGGATTGTGGCATTTTCCAACAAGGAGGCAGTGGAGGGAATTACTTCTAGGATGCTATAAGCTAGGGCATGAAGCATCTTCTAGGGAAAAAAGTGCATGGGAGGGAAGTCCGTATGCAGGTCTTCCTGGTGCAGCGCTGAGGATTTTCCTTCTCTCTTTTTTAAATTAACAAATACAAATCTTTCATCATCAATCCTATTTTTTTTTAGTTGGAGTCTTACTCAGTCGCCCAGACTGGAGTGCAGTGGCTGCTGCAGCCTTGCCTGCTGGGCTCCGGTGATGCTTCTGCTTCAGCCTTCCAAGTAGCCGGAATTACAGGCATGCGCTATCACGCCTGGCTGATTTTTTTATTTATTGTAGAGATGAGGTCTCGCTGCCCAGGTGGGTCTCGAACCCGCGGGCTCAGGCAATCCACTGACCTCAGCCTCCCAAAGGCGCGGGATTACAGGCTGAGCCACCGAGCCCGACTAAACCTATTGTTTATCTGACATAATTGTTTAGGATTATACAGAGTAAAGGAAAAACGGGTAAGTAGCTGTAAAACCTAGGGTAGAAACATAACCTGGAACCAGACATGCATAAATAAAGCCCAGGGTACTTGGAACAGTATGGCAAAAACCTCTAAGTCCCAACTTGGAATTCAGGTTCTACATTTTTGTTGAACTGATGTTTTTCCCAACCCTCAAGTACCTTTAGTTAAGCTGGTAACTTACAAATTTCCCAGTATGTTGACCCATGAAATTAAGTGTGGTGGAGTGAAGATTAATAAAGTAACACATAAAGTTATTGCCTGGTACATTAGGGTACTCAAATATTGAGGTCTTTGGACTATTCAGGTACCATACTCTTAGAGGACTCCTCCTCACTGGGGTACCTAAAATGTAAGTGATAACTGCTACAAATGTAATTTTTCTTTTAGTTGGAGTCTCACTCTGTTGCTGGAGTGCAGTGGCATGCTCACAGCCACTGCAGCCTCGACCTGCTAGGTTCAGGCAATTCTCCCGCCTCAGCTTTCCAAGTAGCTGGAACTACAGGCACGCACTACCATGCCCAACTCACTTTTTGATTTGTAGAGACAAGGTCTTGCCATGTTGCCCAGACTGGTCCCAAACCCTTGGGCTCAGGCAGTCCTCTCACCTCTGCCTTCCAAAATGCTAGGATTACAAGTATGAGCCACCATGCACACCCAAGAATGTAACATTTTGATTGTAACATCTTCTCAGAAATAACTTTGAACAGAGAAGCATCAAGCCAAACCTTTACACTTTATTTAGTACAGACAGGGTCTTGCTGTTGCCCAGGCTGGTTTCAAACTCCTGACACTCCCAAAGTGCTGGGATTACAGGTATGAGTCACTCCATTTGGTGCAAAGCTCTTGTATTTCATAAGAACCAAGGATCAGAGCAAACATATTTGTGCATAACTCAGCAAGCCAGGGCATGTACTCCACCCTTTTCACTGTCCCTGACATCTCAGATGTACCTACAGAAGTTAGGAGGACAGCCCTCCCACCTAACTGCCTCTTCTTTTTTGCCCACTTCTGCAGGAACACCTCCCACCCACCAGACTCTCTTGAGGCCAACCTCACACAGGTCCACCCCAGTACTGACCTAGAGGACACACTGCCAAGCGTTTTTAACTTTTTCTGGACCCACAGGCTTAACCCACTCAGAATAAACAAGTTTTACTGAGGGGTTACATTTACCTAACACAAATGGATCACCTCACAGTACCATATTGTGGGGAGCTGATGAGATGTGGGGAGCAAATGAGCACTGTCCAAAGAGCAGGCCTTGAGCAAGGTCAGGCCCCAAGCGTAGGCAAGGCCTCACTGGTTGCTCTGCATCCTAGCCAAAGAGCAAGGGTTGCAGCCTGCTACATGGAACGGAGTCTCAGAGCCCACACATCCGGAGACATGTGGGGGGAAGAGCACCATCACTGTAGCAGACCTTGAGCAAGGCAAGGTCCCAAGCATAGGCAAGGTCTTGTTTGGTTGCTCTGCATCTTAGCCAAAGAGCAATGGTTACAGCCTGCTACACAGAATGGTGTCTCAGATGCCCACACATCCGGGTGCACATAGTACAGATAAAGTCTTAGCAACAACAAGATAACTGCAGAACAGCTTGCCATTTAGGTAGCGATAAAATTCCACTATAGCTCCCTCACAGACCTTGAATCCTTTCCAACTTCCTTTGTGCTTAATTATAAAATAAACGTGCTGAGCTAGTTTGGGGCCACTTCTCCATCAGAGGAAAGCATCCCACCTGGCCCCAGCTTTTCTTTATTTCTTTGTGTCTGTGTATTTCTTAATCTCTCGCCACTCTCTCTTGGAACCCTCAAGGCAGCCATGCGGGTCATGGCACCACATAGCAATACTTCTCCCGTCTCTGCCCTTACTTGAGGCAAAAATGTCACCCAACTTTAGACACTATACGAAGAAAAAACTATACAGACCATACTATTCTCAAAATAGGCACATGAAACCCCTTGAATTTTTTTGTTTATTTACTTTGAGGTAACCAACTAAAAAAATGGCCTGAGTTCAGTGCATTACAAAGAAAATGGACAAAATATGGCAGTATAAATTTGTCTATATTTACATACTGGAAAAAAGAAGCAAGTTCAGAACGTCACTAAAAAAGTTTTTAACTTTAACATTGTAAACAAAATGGAAAGTTGAGAACTGACAAATGGGAGACATATAAGGAAATGCAAAGTCTTGAGTCTTAACTATCACCAAAACAAAAATGACAATCTTGGTAACGGCCCCTAATCCACCTCCTCAATGGTGGGGCCAGACCCAGGGCCCCCCTTGGGGCCCTGAGCCCCGAAACCGCCAGGCCCAGGGCCACCCGCACCCTGGTACAGTCCGCTGATGATGGGGTTACACACCTGCTCCAGCTCCTTCCTCTTGTGCTCAAACTCGTCCTTCTCAGCCAGGGTGTTGGCGTCCAGCCAGGAAATGACCTCCTGGCACTTGTCCAGCACCTTCTTCTTGTCCGCCTCGCTGATCTTGCCCTTGAGCCCCTCATCCTCCACGGCGCTCTTCATGTTGAAGGCGTACGACTCCAGGGCATTCTTGGCCGAAACCCTCTCGCGCTGCACCTCGTCCTCCGCTTTGTACTTCTCCGCTCGTGCACCATGCGCTCGATCTCCTCCTTGCTCAGGCGGCCCTTGTCGTTGGTGATGGTGATCTTGTTGGCCTTGCCTGTGCTCTTGTCCGTGGCCGTGACGTTCAGGATGCCATTGGCGTCGATGTCAAAGGTCACCTCGATCTGGGGCACGCCCCTGGGGGCCGGGGGGATGCCGCTCAGCTCGAAGCGCCCCAGCAGGTTGTTGTCCTTGGTCATGGCCCTCTCGCCCTCGTACACCTGGATCAGCACGCCGGGCTGGTTGTCGGAGTAAGTGGTGAAGATCTGCGTCTGCTTGGTGGGGATGGTGGAGTTGCGCTTGATCAGGGCGGTCATCACGCCGCCGGCCGTCTCCAGCCCCAGCGACAGGGGCGCCACGTCCAGCAGCAGCAGGTCCTGCACGTTCTCGGACTTGTCCCCCATCAGGATGGCTGCCTGCACCGCCGCGCCGTACGCCACCGCCTCGTCGGGGTTGATGCTCTTGTTGAGGTCGCGCCCGTTGAAGAAGTCCTGCAGCAGCTTCTGCACCTTGGGGATGCGGGTGGAGCCGCCCACCAGGACCAGGTCGTGGATCTGGGCCTTGTCCAGCTTGGCGTCGCGCAGGGCCTTCTCCACGGGCTCCAGGGTGCCCCGGAACAGGTCGGAGCACAGCTCCTCGAACCTCGCCCTGGTGATGGACGTGTAGAAGTCGATGCCCTCGAACAGGGAGTCGATCTCCAGGCTGGCCTGGGTGCTGGACGACAGGGTCCTCTTGGCCCTCTCGCAGGCGGTGCGCAGTCGCCTCACGGCCCGCTTGTTCGGGCTGATGTCCTTCTTGTGCTTCCTCTTGAACTCCTCCACGAAGTGGCTCACCAGCCGGTTGTCGAAGTCCTCCCCGCCCAGGTGGGTGTCCCCGGCCGTGGCCTTCACCTCGAAGATGCCGTCGTCGATCGTCAGGATGGACACGTCGAAGGTGCCCCCGCCCAGGTCAAAGATGAGCACGTTGCGCTCCCCCTTGCCGGTCCTGTCCAGCCCGTAGGCGATGGCGGCGGCCGTGGGCTCGTTGATGATCCGCAGCACGTTGAGCCCCGCGATCACCCCCGCATCCTTGGTGGCCTGGCGCTGCGAGTCGTTGAAGTAGGCCGGCACGGTGATCACCGCGTTGGTCACCGGGTAGCCCAGGTACGCCTCGGCGATCTCCTTCATCTTGGTCAGCACCATGGACGAGATCTCCTCGGGGTAGAACGCCTTGGTCTCCCCCTTGTAGCTCACCTGCACCTTGGGCTTGTCACCGTCGTTGATCACCTGGAAGGGCCAGTGCTTCATGTCCGACTGCACCACCGGGTCGCCGAACTTGCGGCCGATCAAGCGCTTCGCGTCAAACACGGTGTTCTGCGGGTTCAGCGCCACCTGGTTCTTGGCCGCATCCCCGATGAGCCGCTCGGTGTCCGTGAAGGCCACGTAGCTGGGCGTGGTGCGGTTGCCCTGGTCGTTGGCGATGATCTCCACCTTGCCGTGCTGGAACACCCCCACGCAGGAGTAGGTGGTGCCCAGGTCGATGCCGATCGCCGTGGTTTTGGCCATGTCGGTGCCCTGCTCCCGGGTTCTGCTCTCAGACGCGGGCCGGAGAACGGCGGACGGGATCAGCAACAGGCGCTCGGTCCCTTCTGAAAGCTGGAAACTGAACTCGCCGGAGTCGGTACCGCGCAGATTCGCCGGGGTGCTGCCGCGACTCGCTCTCGGGAAACGGGACTTCGGTCGCAGACCCCCTGGGGCTCGCTGTTTCCAAAACTGCGCGCTCAACCCCTTTTATAACTCAAGGTCAGACCCCGCCTTTTCCCTTCTCAGCCAATCAACGAGCTCGTCGAGGCTGCCAGGTCGGGAATATTCCAGGGGTTTCGCCTCCGGTCCTGCCCCCGTGCTTCATTGGACCAATCAGAGGCCAGGGTCCCGCCCTCCGCCGAACTCTCCAGACTCTTCTGGGATTCACTGGA